AGTCCCCATCCCTGGAGGTATTTAGAAGACGGGTAGATCTGGTGCTTAGGGACATGGTTTAGTGGTAGAGTTGGCAGTGCTAGATTAATGGTTGGACTCGAGGATCTTAAGGGCCTTTTCCAACCTAAACGATTCTATGATTCTGTGTGTCCCATGCCTTGCCTGGGGCAGAGGATTCGGGTGGGCGGAGGTGAGGGTGCAGTGGAAAGCGCTGGGCGGAGGGGAGGACAGCGGGCAGCCAGCCCCAGCAGGCGCCGGAGGAGACGCGCTGCCACTTCTAGAGGCTCATGGCTGCGATCCGGCGCCTGTCCTGCTGCGATGTGGCGGCACAGCCTTTGGCAGCTGGGGGCTCCTTCTGTTGTTTCCAGCACTGCTCACTGCCCACCACGCTTGCCTGGGTTGCTGCTCCTGGCCATGGCCCCGAACCAGTCCCCACCATTTTCTCACAGGGCATCTTCCCAGACACATTCCCAGCCTCTCTCCGGAGCATGCCTTCCTCCAGAGAGGAGAAGAGAGGCAAGGATTCCCGAGCACTGCCGACAGCAAAGTTCTCTGGAGACAAAGTGTGTCCACAGGCGTTGGCGTCCTGTTGGCACTGCCAGCAGACGTCCACGATGACTAAGCTCTGAGAGCCCAGGTCTGCTCTTCATCGGGCTCAGATGGATGAGGGGCTGTAGGCTCATGTGGGTCTGTGGAGATGGGAAACAGGATCCATGCAGAAGATGGAGGTCTGAATCCTGCCCCCAGAAAAGAGGAAATTTCATCAGATTTCCTCCCTTGCAGCTGTTAATAAGATGGAGGGGTGGGAGGACTATAGGAAAGCAAGTCTACAATAGACTACTTCTGAAATACGTTACTTTTTATTTCTAAGAGTAGTCTTTTTTTTTTTATTTTCCTCTGTTGAATGTGCCATTTTGTAGATCTTTCATGCATTAGAAGCACTGTGCAGTGGCTGATCAGTTTGCTGCAGATTTTTCTTGATTTGCCTACTGGGAAAGCAGATATATGATGGAAGCTGCTAAAGTTATCAGCTAAAGCGCTACCCTTGTTTTTGCAGTGTGGTTTTAGCTCTGCAGCAGCCTTGTGCTGGGTCAGGAAGCTGGCTTTTCAAAGGGATTTGGATTATTGGCTTGATACGCTCTCACCATATTTTTTCAGTCCTCTCTTAATAGTGCTCCAAGTATTTCATTACCTTTAATACTGACTCTGGCTTTTCCCTTCAGATAACAGATTGTTTAGACAACCATGAAATAAAGGAAGTATTTAATTACTTTGCCACTTTTCAAACCCTAGAACGTGCTATGTATTCACTAATGCATACGTTTTTGTGTTATTCTGGAAGAGGAAACTAGGGGTAAAATGTATGCTTATCTCCAGCTAACACAATCCAAGATATCCTACAATTTTAAAAGCTTGTAGGAGCTATTCCAAACCAACTGCATGATGGTTGCTGATGAACAGTTTGAAAAGGAGATTAAAGCCCAGTGATTCAACACCTAAGCTGCATGTACTGCTCCGAAATGTAGTCCCCAGTTCCCTGCTGAGCTCTAAACCAGTCTGGTTGAAACACGTTACAAAGAAGCAGCAAGTACTGCCTTGAGGAATTAACACACACTTTTATTTCCAGGGTACTCACTGTTTCTACTGTATTATTCTCTGCAGGCCTCCCCGGTGGAAGCAGATAGACCTGCCAGCAAGCAGGTCGAGGCTAGCCCTGGAAGTGCGGGACCTGTGAGCCTGGCATGCCCGTCCCCAGGTGGGTTGCTGCTGCTGCCCTTGCCCGTGCCCTTGCCCACCCCAGGCTGGGGTTTAGGCCCAGCCTGCAGCAGGAGTCCGATAAGTGCATTTGCAGCGGCACCAAGAGGGTTTATTAGAAAATGCAGAAGATGTCAGAAATCTCAACGTAAGAAAGAAATTTTTTACAATAAGAACGATCATTCAGCGCAACAACCTCCCCAGGGACATGGTAGAGTCCCCATGGCTGGAGGTTTTCAAGGTGTGACTGAACAGGGTGCTAGATAATCTCATTGAGGCTCCCTTTCCCACGAAAGGTGGGACCAGATGATCTTTCGAGATCCCTTCCAACGTGGGCTGTTCTGTCATTCTGTGGTTGAAACAACACACCTGACTGCACGTTGCCTGGGATGTGAGTTGTCTGCTTTGCTGATTGTGTGCCTGAAGAGTTGGTGCCACAGTGTGCTGTAACCAGAAAGCAATCAGGGCAGAAACTATCAGTGTAATAGCTTCTGTTTAACACTTTGTTTTCCCCCAAGACATTAAGAAGTGGGGAAGGAGAATAAGAAGGGGCACTTAAGTCCCTATAGGGGCTTTAAATGGACAGTATTGTGCACGGTCCTGATTTTCTGCTTTAAAGCCTTTATGCATGATTCCTAATCTGGGGAAAGGAATTTGCTGGTAAAATTTGAAGGTATTTTCCTCAAAAGGGTTTTTCTGAAACATTATCTTTGAGTAGGTATATTATCTACTGCCTACTAACATACTAAGTTCATGATCTTTTTTTGTTGTTCATTTTTTAAAAATGGGTCTATCAAAGTTCAGCTTGGTATGGGTAAGTAAAAAGCACTATTCGAAGTAGGTATTTAAATGAGACCTCTGGCTGTAATTGGTATATAAGCATAATGCTCCTATTTGTTGAAGATAAATGTGACTTAAACAATTGAGCTTTGCCCTCAAACATCAATGAGGTACTGTTCCCCCAAGATGAGAAGCATATCCAGCCTTTTCTTGATGTGCTGCAAGACTCTGAAGCACATGGACTGTTAGCAAGGGCTCATCAGCTGACTTAATTACTTTGACTCTTAGATGCCAAAGCACAGAGGTTAACAATCTTAAATTGCACCTGGCAGGTGATGTAGAAGCTGCAATCTTGTGGTGAACCAACCAAATTCTCCTCTCAAGAGTCAGCAGTGATGAGCTGGTGATACTTGTCTACAAATCACAAAGCCACCTTGTGTCAGGCTCCACACCTGTGAGAAATGCTAAACATTAAGTATTGATAGCAAAGTTTAATATTGGCTGGCAAGGAAAACTGAGATAGCATTGCAAAAATTGACATGGTAAAGGAACATGGGTTTTCATTATGTCTGCTTTGGAGGGATAGATGTGGTCCAAACTGTGTGACCTTCTTGTAGAATATGCAACCTCCTCTGCTGTTCAGTACAAGCCACATACTTCCATGCTGTGACCCCTATGCCACTAATGGTGTGGAAGCTGCTCCAAAGTGGTATGCATCTGCCTTGCAGCAGGAGCAACTCTTGTCTTTGCTCGTGTGCAGGTTCTTAGTGGAGCCTTGGGGTGCATCTCTCTTAGCTCACTCTCCTAGCTTGTCAACAAAGGTACATTTGGAAGCTGCTGCTGCTACCGTGTTTGGAGAGGGGACAGGATCTGAAGCTGAGATTCTGCTCTAGGAAGTTAGAGAGATGTCTGAGTGCTTGTGCACTGCCTGGGATGCTGGAAACTGCTCTGTTTCCAGTGGTGGTACCAGCTGACAGTAGTTTAGCTGTCGCAGTCCTCAGCTGTAGACCTGTGAGCTCCTCATCCCTTCTCCTGTATACCAGCATCAACTTCTTGGGTTTTTTTAAGAACTGAATGACAACTAGATTATTCCAGTCCAAGGCTTCATGTTAGCACAATTTGTTTGCTGTCTGATGCTTGACTGCCATGGTTTAGTAGAAACAGGCAAGCTGGAATGTCCTCCAGTGCTGACAGTGAGACCGTGTTAATTATGGTATAGCTACTTGTCTGGATAGCATCTTAGGATAAGATTCATCACACGACTTCAGTAAAGAGATCTATACCTCAGTAGGCACGTTGTAGGTTACAGCTCATCTCAGCCAAAGAGGAGTGTCTGAAATAGTTTGGGTGACTCTTCCCAAGAACTGCCTCTGTTTTTGTTGACCATGATGCCCAAGTCAAGTGTAAGCACCTACATTTTGTCAGGTGAATTTCACCCTTAAAGCCTTGTCTTCTCTGAGAGATTAATTTTGCCTGTGTTGAAGAAAGGAGATTATTTTTTCAAAACATCCAGTTTATGGGCTCACAGTATATCCAGTAAGAAATCAGATTGTAAGAAATAGGTCTACATTTTATTGGAAAAAATGTCTTAACATTGCAACATTATTTCTTGTATGTGTGGATTAGGTTCAGATCAAAAGCAATTCAAGTCAACTGCAGCTTGTGCCAGCCCTGTTGTGAAGAGATTAGAATTTCTTCCCAGTCCTGTCCCTTCAGAGGAAGCTGCTTCAAGTGAGAAAAATGTGAAGAAACCTGAAATGGAGCAGCAGAAGGAAGCAGAGCTCCCTGCTACACTGGAGGTATGTACAGGCAAGAAAGAGAGGGAGTGGAAAACAAAACAAAAAAACAACAAAAAAAGAAAGATCTCACATGGAAATGTTTATTGTGCAAATTGGTATTTTTCTTTATATAATGTCACTTCAGGAGTTCGTTCAAAACAGTCTGCCAGGGAATGACCCTGAAGGATGGTTTCTGTGCCAAATCCTATGGTCATCAGAGAGTTCCCCATTGAAAGGAACTCCCCAGTGTCTGTTTGTAGCATTTGAACCTGTAAACTGGCTGGAGCAGAAATGAGAACTTAACCTGCAAACCCCGGTCCCACCACGTGTTGGGAGGACAGAGTATCCAGAAGGTGTAGGGAGTGGAGCTTACCCTCTTGGTCCTCTTGAAGTGCTGAACAAATGCAGGTGGTGGCAGAGGTAACAAATGTCCATGACCATACTGCTCTGTCAGGTAAGTTAGATGTTGGTCCTGGGTTAGGATCGGCTTTGGTGTGCAGGGCAGTGTGAATGTCAACAGCAAACAGCTACTAGTTATTTCCAGGACTTCAGTACTGCAACTCCATGTTGTAATTCTGGAGACAGAGGCTTCATCTTTGATAACATTGATTCAGAAAATAAGTAGAAAGGGTTTAAGTTAACCTTGGATTGAACCTGCTGATTTTTGAATGCTGTTTTCTCTCCCAGAAGTCTGAACAGGTGATGAAACCAAAAGCCCTGGAACTAGAGGGAAGTGTAGTGTTGCCATTTTTAAAGAAACTACCTGAGACCAGCCAAGTTACTCTGCAGAATTCTGGTCTACCAGGTGAGCAAAGAGCATTTGGAGAACTCAGCTGGACAGTAACCGGGTATATGTGTGTGTGGTGTTCAGGGAGAAGTGCCTAATCAATGACCTGGATGGTTTTGAAGCTAAATTGTTATTTTCTAGTTTTTCACCTGACTGATATTGGTAGTGTGGCTTCTGTGATGCAAAGGACTCTCTTGGCTGTTCCCCTTAAACACAATAACAGAAATGTGACACAACGGAGGGGTACAGGGAGAGCCCTGTCTTGCACTTACCTGGCCTAGCAATAAAAGCTGTATAATGTCAATGAGGATTATATTTTAATAGTACTGCTGCTCACAGATGAAAATGGCTTAGCAATTGGTTTTACTCACAATAAAAACGTCTGGAGATAACTTCTGCACTCAGCTGCTCGTGTGGCCATCCTTTTCATAGATGAACAATACGTGTATCGGGCCACATCCCTCAATTGGACCTGTGCCTATCATGAGTTCTTGCAAAGCACAACTTTTTTTTTTTGCCTTCATGACAAAGTTTTGCTTGAGATTGATAGTGTTTAGTAGTTTGATTTTATATTGATTTTAGAGATGCATATCTCTAGGTATTGTGAAAGAAAGAGAGAGAAAAATCATCCGAAGTTTTCTTCCCCCTGAGAACTTACTAGGTTGTTAGTTTATGTATAGTTAATATACTGATTATCATAGTGTTTTCAAGATTGAAACTACTGAAGGTGATCCACTGTGGAGGACAGGATTGTCTGAAAAGGAATAGAAGTCTCACTTGTTTTAAGTGGGGGGTGCTTTCCAAATAGGCTTTGAGAACAACATCATTTTATGCTAGGCATGAATCAATCCAAACATCAAGTAACAGATTGTAGGTCTCTCACCTGCTTTCTGAGTGATGCTGAAACACTTGGCTGCTCTCTAGTGTTCACAGCACGTAAAGCACTGAAAGAATCCCAGAATCCTTTAAAACGTGTATCTGCAATAGGAATGAATGCGAGCACCATGCAAAGACTTGAAGGGGTGGCTGCCCTTGACTAGCATTGGTTGGCCTGGGCTCTCATGTGAGGTTAGGTGCCATGTTACAACAGCAGCATTTATATACGAGCAGTCCGTGTGATCTGCAGGTCCATTGTAAACTAGGTGCGATGGGCCAAAGAGATTGTAGTCAAAATCCCTCTCGTGGCCGAGGCGGCTCGGGTCTGAGAGTCCATCATCGCCCTTTGACCGCGCTGTGTTTCTTGTTTTGTCTCCGTGCCATTGCCTGCAGAGCCGCCCCACGGGGCCGCGGTTCCGCTTAGGGTTCGCAACAACTGGCGACGCTCACAGTTTTTCTCGCAGTCAGGTAAATGCAGCGCTAAGACCAGCTTCAGCCCTTCTGCTGCCTCCAGTCATAGGTGTCTTCGGACGTGGGGCGGGGGTGAAAGCCGATGATCACGGGGAACTTGTTCTACCTCTCGCTTTCGTAGAAAGTGTCTATTCCTGCT